GGTTTTTTCTAGTTGAAGTTTTTTAATGAGGCACATTCATATATATTGGACATCTAAGGGGAAGTGTTATGAATATAACAATATCTTTGTGGATATCCATATATCTCCCATTGTCTCCTATATCTTCTATAATCTCCAACATCTCTCATTATCTCTATATTCCATAATTATCTCCTATTATTATATAATCTGTAGATTCTATCAAAGAAGCAAAGCTATGCCTATAAATAAAAGTCATGTATAAGTATTGAGCACTCTTGAATAGAATGAGAAATACTCTCTCTTGTTGGTCATCTCTTCCTCTCTATAATTCTTCTATATTTCTTCTCTATTTATAACATTAACCAATTTTTTTTTATTTTCATTTATTACATCGTATTATCACCGGACTCAGTTAGTCATTTTTTACACCTCTTTTTCATTTCTTATTATCTCTCATTCACTCTATCTCTCTACTAAAAAAGATATTTTTAAAAATAAAATATATTTATCACCTCTATGTGTGCGCGTATATATGTAAAAGATTGGTGGGATGGAGTATACAGGATCCAAGGAGGAAGAAAACATCTCCCCACTCAAAGCAAGTAGATTGCTGCTATTATCCATATTGATATAAAATAATGGAGTAAAATTACAATTAATCATAATAGCCATCCAACTTATTTTCGTTGCTATGGAATTTATGCTCCATTTGGATGGAGAGAAAAGTTAGGAGGAAAGAAAACAAGGGGAGAGAAAGTAGAGAGAAGAGAAAATTGGAGAGAAAATATTATCACCTCTTTTGTTTAGATAGATGGAAGAAAATAGAGAGAAAAGAAAATAAACAAAAACATGAATGACCAAAATATCCTTATATATAAGAATATATCATATTTAAAATCAAAATCAATATTAGAATAGCAAAATGATATTAACGTTAACATGATCAAAAAATTTATAATCAAATAATTTGATAAACATATAATTTCATAATTTTGTATTTTAAACCAAATAATTTTAGAGAAAAATATTATTTTTAAAGGTTACAAAGTGGATAATTTTTAAAATGAAATATAATTAAAAGAAGTATATAAATTAAACATGATCCAATATCTTCAAAACCAATGTCATTCCAAATCGAAAACAGAACCATAGCAAAAACATTTCCACAATAATAGACATGGATAAGAATCAATCTTGAAGAGAGAGAAAGCAAAAGCATCAAGTCAACATCAGGGAACCAAAATTTTCTCCCAATTCCACCAACTCAATCAGAATTGCAGGAAAACCATGAAATTTCAATAGCAGTAGTACAATGGAATTATTTTCCCTCCTAACTCAAATGTGAAATCATGAGGGACACGGTCCATGAATTAGAATGGTTGAAAGGAAAAAGAGTAGAAAATAAAAGGGAAAAGATGGAGCAGGGATAAAAGAAATTATTCACCCGATAGTCGAAGCAATGATGGAGTTACGATGGTGTTTTGGACCTGATCCTTGTGTCTGTATTAAGAAGAATGATTTTGAGTGGAGTTCAGGATGGGAGACGCGGCTAGATACTCGTGCAAATTTTCAGAATAGAAAAAAAAAAAAAAGAACACGGGAAGGAAAAAAAGGCAAGTACAGAAAAATGAGTTTTCTTCCCATTTTCTCTCCATATGTGGAGAGAAAAGTTGGGAGAAAAATAGGATGGGTCCCACACCTTATTTTCTTTTCAATTTTTCTTTCCTCTCATTTTTCCTCCCCCATCCAAATAGGAGAAAACACACTTCTTTCCCTATTTTCTTCTCTAGTTTTCTTTCCTCTCTCTTTTTCTCCCCATCCAAACAGGGGGCTAAAGACAAGCTCCGAGTAGATACATAACGGGACACACAGATCTGACCATAATGAACGTGGCCAGTCCACCGTCCATGTTCATCATAGTTGGGCATTCACTTTTCAAGACAACAGGGAAAAAATTCGGCATCGTTTGAATGGATTATGAATTTGTGATTTAAAAGAAATTTTCTTGATTTTGCTTGAGCCAAAAAATAAATTCATTAAGATTTTGAAGGTAAATAATTAAAAGAAAGCAAAATTTTTTTATTCAAACATGTAACACATAATAATTGCAGATTTAAAAGTATATATGTAATTGTAAAAAAAAAAAATAGTTGATGACCCATAAAATTAATATTTGTCTCGAAAGTCATATATTAAATTAGAAATAGTTTAATAATTGTACATTGTAAACTTATTATTAAAATCTCTTAATCAGAATTAAATAGTTTACACATTATAATTCATAATGATATATTTCAATCTAAAGATTATCATAAATTTAGAATTTTTTAATACAATTTTAATTAAAAAATGAATAAAAATCTTTAAAATTACTAATGATCTATCTTCTGAGAAATTCTTAAAGTAAAGCATTACAAGTATTTTACCTAATAAATATAAATTAAGCAGAGAATTTATTTTTATTTACATATTTAAAATGTCATCATTACATATATAATACTATAATATATTTATTATCTATTTATTTATATTTACGGAAGTAATATTTAAGGATTTAAAATTTTTAATCATTAATAATCAATAATTTAACGCATACATTTTTAACCGTTATAACTTCATTTGTTAAGCTTAAGCACATCTGATATGAAAAAATTGATTAAAGGTAATAAGTATGTAAAAATATAGTTTGTTTTCCGAAAAACACAATTACTCATGGAGGGGGAGTAAGTGAGAGATACTGGGTCACAGTTAATCCAATGATATTGTTTTTTTCACCAACATAATCCAATAATAATAATAACCAATATAAACTTCCAATACTTGGAAGAAAAAAAACGAAATATAAGCTTCAATAGCTAAATGTCTAAATTGCACAATTCAAAAGGTGTTAAAAATTAGCACAACCCTCTGCAGCACGTGAAGCTCATAGTTTGGGTTCTTTATTTATTCATTTATTTTATTTATTTATTTAGTTTTACCGAGTCAAAGGACGTGAGGCAGTTCACGTTAGTTTCCTAGTATTTAGCTTCATCAGTTTCCTATTATCCAGCTTTGTTTTCGAATAATGGGAATACCAGAGAAATATCTGGGAGTGAGTTTATGGCTCCATATGATAAAGAGATCATGCAGTAATCATTGAGAAGGCAGATAATCAAAAAGTATTGTCCCAAGACTATCTTCAGCTCTATTATTTTCACTTTTTCTCTCTGTTTTTTTTATGGTATTGATTTGACCAAGTTTTACTTCATTAATTCATGTCTAATTGCATGTTTTTAGAGGGATTAATTGGTTTAAAATGCATATTTTGATATGAATTGTGGTAATTTAAAATTAAGAATTTGATTTCTTATTAAGCACTTTGTCAGGGCATAACAGTCATTTTGCTTAATTTTAATTAATCATCTTTTTATGAAATTGAATTGAATATTATAAATGCTTAATTTGATTTTTAGGTCAAGAGTCAAGTGAAAAATATCTCCCAAGGACATAAGTTTAGGAAAATTACAGTTAAGGGCCAGCAGATTGCAAAAATTCTAGAAAAGGGCCAACTAAATGTAGCTGTTTGGTTTGATCATTTGGTCACAGTGAAATGGAAATTTAGTAGCGATGAAAAGGCACTGACATAGAATTAGGTTTTAAATCTCAAATTGCGATTTTGGGAAACATAACACATGAGCCAGTAGCCAGACTACATCCAGACTCTCCCACTTTCATCTCCTAGGGTTCTCCAAGGGTTCTTGAGGTTTTCCTATTGATTCCTACCCATTTTCACTCCCTTTCCACCCCATTCTATCCCTTTTCTGCATCATCCATCATCCATCACTACTACAAAAAAGTTCATTTTTGTCTGAAATTGAAAACAGATGCATACGGGAGTCCATAATCGTCAGTTGGGATAAAACAGACGAATATGGGCATCCTTATTCATCTGGTCAGCGAAATAGACGAATAAATGGGCCCATATTCGTCTAGTGGGGCGAACAGACGAATATGGAGGCCTATATTCGTCTGGTGGGCCCACTAGACGAATATGGCCCCTTTTTTTTTCCTTTCCCGTCCACACTCCCCACAAAACACCCTTCATTTGCACCCTCATCTTATCAGCTTCATTCTCTTCGGTCTCCCCACACATGACGCCACCCCTGTCTCCAAAATAGCACACTCTCTCCCCATCCCCCACATCGCCGTCCCCATCCCTGGCCCACCCTGTCCCCCCATACGCCTTCAAGTGGTCCTCCCCCTGCGTCCCCACTCCCCCCACCCCCGTGTCCCACCCCCACCCCGCTGACCCCACCCCCGCGTCCCCACTCCCCCCCCACCCGTGAACGCCCCCCGCCACCCCGACCCCACCCTCAGCCCCAACCAAACCCCACTCCCTTATCCCCACTCGCCCCCCGCCCCCCCACCCAACCCCCTTCCAACTGACGTCCAACTCCCCGTAACCCCACCTAAAGTATTTTTTTTTCACTCACATTTTTTTTGGTGTTTACAGCCCACTTGTTGGTAGTCTGCAGCTCTCTTCATTTTGCATTCTTCACTTCATAAGTAAGTATGATATCTTTTTAAAGATTAATTGATCATATATGTTGCTTATTGTTGTTTGATGAACTGTTGGAATTAAGAGTCTAGCTTGTGATTGTATTGTAATTTAGATTTTTAAGTAACTTGTAGGTAAGGCAGATGCATGTATAATCAATAGAATGGAATTGATGAGTTTTTGATTTTCTATTATTTAGATTTATGTTTTCATGATATCTATGAGTTATGAAGAATAATGAGTGGTTTTAGATATTTTCTTGTAGTAGTTATGGTGTTTGATGAAATGGCTATCTGTATGAATTATATGAATTTTTTATTTTGTAAATTTTTTAAAATGCTTAATTTAGAATGATTAAATTGTTGAAATTAGTTGAGCTGCTTAAATTTTCTTGGAATTGAGCTGGATGAAATTAAAGTAATGTTGATTTTGGTCGTAAATTTAATTTAATTTTTTTTACAATTACTTATATATTAACAGAATGGATCGTAGTTGGATGAGTGCTTTGAGAACATCTAAGGAGTATGAGGATGGGGTAGAAGAATTTATTGAATTTACTAAAAAGAATGCTTATGACAAAAGTGGAAAGTATTTTTGCCCCTGTGTTAATTATTTAAATGGGAGACATTTGACTATTAATAGTTTAAGGGATCACTTATTTTGTGAGGGGATAAATCTTTGATATACAAGATGGATATGGCATAGCGAAAGAGGAACAGTGCCATTGGTTGACGAAGAGGAAGTGGTGGGTGGATTCAATGATAGAATGCATGATATGATTCATGATGTTGGGTTGGGATTCTCCACACAATCGCATATAAATGATAGCTTGCAAAGTGATGCAGAAATAGCTTTATACCCTGGGTGTTCTACGTATACACGGTTGACAGCTGTATTGAAGTTATTCAATTTGAAGGCAACTAATGGATGGACAGATAAAAGTTTTACGGAATTACTTCAATTGTTGGGTGATATGCTTCTGGCTGATAATGTTCTTCCAAATAGTGTTTATGAGGCAAAGAAAATCTTGTCTCAGATGGGAATGGGCTATGAAAAGATACACGTTTGTCCTAATGATTACATATTATACAAGGAAGAGTATGCTGATCTTAATAAGTGTCCAAAATGCAGATCTTCACGATATAAAGTGAAAAAGCATAAAGATAGTAGTGATGATGGTGATGCTAATGAGACAACTAAAGGGCAACCTTTGAAGGTACTATGGTATCTTCCGATAATACCACGATTCAAAGGGTTGTTTGCTAATGCAACAGAGGCAAAAAAGATGACATGGCACGTTGATGAGAAAATATCAGATGGAAAATATCTTCGGCACCCTGCTGATTCTCTCCAATGGAAGAAAATAGATGAAATGTATCCAGAATTTGGTAGTGAGCCAAGAAATCTTCGTCTTGGACTTTGTACAGATGGAATTAATCCTTACAGTACTCTCAACAGCACACATAGTGCATGGCCAGTTTTGCTTGTGATTTACAACTTACCTCCCTGGTTATGCATGAAGCGCAAGTATATGATGTTGTCTATGATGACATCGGGACCAAAATAGCCGAGGAACAATATCGACGTCTACTTGGCACCTTTGATTAAATACTTGAAGAAATTGTAGGAGGAAGGCGTAGATGTGTTCGATGCGCATAAACAAGAGTCCTTTAAGCTGTATGCAATTATCTTCACGATGATAAATGATTTTCCTGCCTATGGAAACTTGTCAGGATACAGTGTAAAGGGACATAAAGCATGTCCTATATGTGAAGCAGACACACACTACCACCAACTTAAGCATGGAAGGAAAACAGTTTATCTGGGTCATAGGAGGTTTCTTGATCGATTCCACCCATACCGTAGATTGAAAAAGGTTTTTAATGGTACACCAGAACATGGATTGGCTCCGAAGCCATTAACTGGAGAGGAAGTTTATCGTAAAGTGGAAAGAATTGATGTTGTGTTTGGTAAGAATAAAAAGATTGTAGGTGAGAAGAACATTTGGAAAAAAAATCCATATTCTTTGATCTCCCATATTGGTGTAATCTCGATGTTAGACATAGTCTTGATATGATGCATGTGGAGAAAAACATTTGTGATAGCCTTATTGGTACTCTTTTGCACATACCAGGAAAAACTAAGGATGGAATCAATGTGAGATTAGACTTGGCGGAAATGGGAATAAGAGAACGGTTACATCCGCAACTAAGAGAGGGTGGCAAGAGGGTTTATTTGGAGCTAGCGGCACACACATTTTCAAAAGCAGAGAAAACTAGCTTGTGCCGATGTTTGCATAACGTTAAGGTGCCACAGAGTTATTCTTCTAATATGAAAAAGCTTGTCTTGATGGACGATTTAAAGTTAGTCAGGATGAAATCTCATGATTATCATGTATTGATGCAACAACTATTACCAGTGGCTATTCGAGGTATTATGAAAGATGATGTGAGAAACACGATAACTAAACTGTGTCTTTTTTTCAATGCTATCTGCAGCAAAGTTATTGACACTGAAAAGTTAGATGAATTGGAAAAAGAGGGGTATGTTATTCTGTGTCAACTAGAAATGTATTTTCCTCCAGCATTTTTTGATATCATGGTACATTTGATAGTGCATTTAGTAAGAGAGGTAAGGCTCTGTGGCCCTGTATATCTAATATGGATGTATCCATTTGAGAGATTCATGAAAGTCTTAAAGGGTTATTCTAAGAATCCTTATCGACGTGAGGCATCAATTGTTGAAAGATATGTAGCTGAAGAGGCCATAGACTTTTGCAAAGGATATCTATCTGGAGTGGAAGCACAAGCTTGACATGACGATAGGATAGGTAAGGGAACTCGAGGGCTTAAAGTGAAGAGTATTGTCCGTGAAGAACTGTTCCAAGCGCACTTATACATTTTAAATAATATGAAAGAAGTTCAAACGTACTTAGATAACTATAAGCAGATTTTAAAGGACAAGTATCCAAAGAAAACGATAGACAGATAGCTAATGAGCATAACAAGACATTTATTGCATGGTTCAAGGAACAGGTTTAGAGGGAGACAAATGTTTCTGACACAATAAAATGGCTAGCTTGGGGGCCTCGATTTGATGTCACCACTTGGAGTGGATATGATATAAATGGGTATTTCTTCTATACAAAAGCTTAAGATGAGAAAAGTATTATGCAGAATAGTGGGGTAATGGTAGTTGCTGAAGCAATGCATTTCTCTAGCGCCAAAGATAAAAACCCTAAATTGGCATCTATGGCCTATTATGGTATTATTGAGGAGACATAGGACATAAGTTACACAAATTTCAAAGTTCCTATCTTCAAGTGTAAGTGGGTTAACAATAATAGTGTTCAAGTAGATCAAAAATTTGGATTTACGTTAATTGATCTTCATAGGATTGGTTATACAGATGAACCATTCATTTTAGCAAGTCAAGCAAAACAAGTATTTTATGTCACCGATCCTACAAATACCAAATTGTCATTTGTGCTTCAAGGTAAAAAACAAAAGGACAATGATCTAACTTTTAGTATTGATGAGACATCACCTTTCACTACAAATCCACCTCTATCGAATGAAGTAGAATTGATAGATGACGATGATGAATATGCTGTTAGGAATGATCACTGTGAAGGAATATGCGAAAATGCATAATGTAAGACCCTAACGGAAAAGTTATGCACTATATTAGAATTTTGTGTTTCTTATTTGTTAATTTTTTATTGATTTCATTACAGTTGACTCACTTGGTTCACTCTGGTTTACTAACAGGACATGGAGGATGATGATAGAAATATGGACAATTTTGATGAAGATCAAGGGCACGATGAACCTTATAGAAAAAGGGGTAGAGGCACCATGAGAATGCCAAAGCTAGCAGTACGTCACAGGAAAATTCAGAGGAAGCATGTGGATTTTGATGATAATATGAATCCAGTTGGTCCAGAAGCAGATAGGTTCATAAGGTACATAGGCCTTCTGGGTCAAAGCAAAGTGAGCATTCTGTATTCTAGCTGGAAAGAAGTACCCCCTAAAACAAAGGATGCAATTTGGCAAGATATGTTGTTATGTAACTTCATAAACTTCTTATACTTTTTAATAATATTTCTTACTGTTAAATATTCTAATTTCATTCATTACCAATGAACTTCACAGCAAACCTATGATATCCCTCCCACAGAGGAGATGAGAAGACGATGGCTAGACCAAGTACATGAGCGATGGAAAGATTTTAAGACAATTCTCACTCGTACTTACATTCGAGGGCCTAAACAGGATGAAAATCCATGTGATATTTACTTATTTCTTAATGAAGACACTTGGAGAAAATTTGTGGCTTCACGTCTAGCTCCTGAATTTCAGGTAAACTTATTCTACTTAGTGAATATGACCATATAAATTAGTTTATTTCATTGAACTAACTTCATTTTTGTTTCTTTTCTATAGAAATTAAGTGCTCAAAATAAAGAAAAACAAGCTAAAAATCTGTACCAGCATTACATGTCTCGTGACAGTTACAAAAAGGCACAACAGGAGATTATGGAAACTGATTTGCAAAAAAATGCAAGAAGCTGCAAAGTTAGACCCTAGCATTGTTGTTCAAGCCCCGTCTCCGCCTTCTCGACATAGAACGTGGAAGCATGCAAGGATGAAGAAAGGTGAATTTATCAATCAGACTGTTGCTGACATTGCTCAAAAAATTGTAAGTACTTGAATTAAAACAATCTAAATTAAATTAGTGTTCACATTCTGTTGACTTATCATTTATTGCTTGTACGTTATAGGATGAGCTTGAGGAGTAGAGCAGTCAAGATTCTTTTACTCCAACTGGAAAGATGGATATCTTGGCAGCTGCAATTGGGAAGTTAGACCATCCTAGTCGAGTGAGAGGATTATTAAAGATAGTTGGTTTAACCTAATATTTTGGTTCCGGTTCACAAAGCTCTACAGGCAGAAGTGTCCCAAGTACTGACCTGATGGACAAAATTCGAGCATAAGTTCGTGAAGAGATTATGACAAGTGATAAGGTTCATCAATTCTTCAAAAATGAGTTTATGTCCGACATTCGGGAGGAGATAAGGTCTTTAGTTTCAAGCATGCAAATTGGGCAATTTCAACCACAAGAACGTACACCTCAGGTATATAATTAATTACAACATAATTAATTTGTTTTGAATTTTGTTAACATTGTTTCCATTTAATTCCATTCTTTCATTTGTATCATGGTCTCAGAATTCTCCAGCCTATGGCAGCACAAAAGGGAGTTTCAATCCACAAGTGCAGTCAGTTCTGTTTGACCCTAGTCCCCCACTAAATAATGGAGAACCATGTGTTCTCTATTTAGATGACCCAAATATGCGTGTTGTTGCTAATGCCATTAGATACACAAACGGGTCTAAAATTCATAATCAAAAAATCCCAACGGACTCGATCAAAGTGAAGGTTACGGCTGTTCGAGAGGAGGAAGTTCATGTAGATTTGCCATTTCCCAGTGACGAGGTTGGCAAGCTAGGCGAAGCAAAAGGCCATTTTATTTTATGGCCTAAAAGACTCATTGATGTCATATCTCCGATGTGTTGGAAATTGTGCCCTAGGGGCCAATCATTGTGTTATGAACATTGTTGATTTATGAATTTTTTAATTATGTTATCATATTATTTGCATGTTTACTGTGATGACTATCCTTGGATAACTCATGATTTATCCTAAATGTCCCTGGTCGGTCATCTATGTGGGAGCAGAGATGAAATAAGACCAGTATGACTTTGAAGATATATAGAGATATAAATCAAAGTCATAGGCACATGTAAGAGTACAAGGTGTTGGACCGACCCGCTATGAGAGAGCTGCATGGGTTAAGTCATAAGCTTTTCTCATATACAAACCATGTCACTGTGCCCTTTGACCTGAGATCATCATGGATTCCTACATGAGAAATGCTTAGCTTTGACCTAGTCAAAAGTCACTTTTGACTGAGTGATCATAAAGACTATGTTCAGGCTTAGTGGTTTTTCATGCGGAGGAATGTGAATGGTCAAGATGGAATTTGTCCCTCACATTCGTAGAGAGATATTACTGGGCCTCTCGATAAGTGAGTCTAAGAAATGTATGGCCATACTATAATGGAAAGGTAGTTCCGTTTCTATACTTAGACTACTCAGGGATCGAGAAAGTAACGGTCATGAATAGGAGGATGACGTTCTCCATGCCTCATCCATGACCAAAATGTCGTGTGACAAAAGGGATGTGATATGGTTGTATGAAAGGTTACATCGTTCAACGATCCTCATATGATTTGGGTAGTCGTGATGTCTTGCTAGAGACCGCTTATGACTTGTGAGTCATTATAGTTAATGGCCCACTACGAACTTCATATGGGCCTACAGGGTCGCACACAAAATAGCCTAACACGAGCTTTGATGTCCAGATTCACTGAATCTAAGATATGTCCAGATTCAATGAATAATATAGGGTGGACGTGTATATATATATAAATTCATATATATATACATGTTATATAAATATAAGAGATATTAATTATTAGATTTAATTTATAAGGATAAATTAGATCTATATCACTTTTAAATTTGAAATTTAAATGGATATGATATCTTAGATTTAATTTATTAGGATAAATTAAATCTATATATCAATTTTAAATTGATAAGAAATATATATCTCTTAGATTTAATTTATTAGATAAATTAAATCTATATCAATTTTAAATTGATAAGATATAATATAATATCTCAAATTTGATTTATAAAAATAAATCAAATATAATTCCGTCATATCTTTATTTTGAATTAAATAAATAGGTGAATTAAATTTGTGGGACGGATTTAATATAAACCATATTTATTTAATTGTTTTTTTATCTGATTACGCAATACTTGATATTGTATTAATTTCAGAATTAATTTACGATTAATTTCGAAATCAAATATCCTTCATAATACTTATAGCATCCTATGTATTTGATATTAGGAGCTAGGGTTTTGGGTGTGAGAGTGTAAAAGCTTGCAAATAAGAGACGGCCAGTAAATAGAGAAGGGAGGACGGATTCTTCGAAAATAAACCCTAGAAGGACAAGAGACAGTAGCACGTTGTTCGTGTTCGTTGTTCGTGTGGATACCGATAGAGAAGCCGATCTAAGTTGTCGACTTCGAGCGATAAAAGAGGCGAGTAGAGGCATCCTAAACGGCAAAATCCCCAAGCCACCAAGAAATCAAACATCGAAGGTAATACTTCTTACTACTTGACTTAAACACAATCGGTAGATCCGGGCAAGGGATTGAAAATTTTAAAGTTATTTTCCGTTGCGCGTCTTTTAATTCCCTTCACAATGGTACAAAACGCAAGCATTTTCTATTTTCTCTTTCATATACTATTTATGTTACTTATTTTTATTCTATTTTTCTATTAGGACATTGAAGATGCTACTAAATTTCCCTGTTTGGCACAACTGTATGGCATTTATGAATTAGTTAACAAAGTCAATATACAAATGCCTAGTGGGATTGTGGGAGAGAAAATCACATATCATTTTGGTTTGGACCAGAGGGATCTCAAGGACTTTCTATCCCTGGATCAGCTAGATATTGCATGGATTCAACTGGCAATAATGTGATTTTATTTTATGATTTATATTTTCTAATTGCTCATTTTTACTTATATGTATGAAATAATTTTTGTTTTGTATCAAATATATGATAGCTACTTTCACAACTTGTGCGCTTCTACGGGAAAGGGACATTTGTATGGATTCATGTGTCCAGCCGCTTTGCAACCTTTGAAGAATAACATTGATAGCTA